TTCCAATATTTGAGGGGCTGCCACAGAGAGGAGGAGGGTCAAGCTATTTTCCAAAGGACCGAGAGAAGGACAAGAAGCAATGGGTGGAAACTAATCAAAGAGAGAAGCAACTTACAACTAAGGAGAAACTTCCTGACAGTTAGAACAATTAATCAGTGGAACAGAAGTTGCCTCCAGAAGTTTTGAATGGAAGTTTTTAAGAAGATGTTGGATAACCATTTCTCTGAAGTGGTGTAGGGTTTCTTAAATATTCAAATCCCAAATCCCAAAACAATCCCAGATCATTCTGCCTCTCTCTGCAAGCCCAAATCCATCAACAGAAGTAGACAATCATGGGAAAGATCAGAGGGAGTCTTCTTCCTCAACTTTCTTCCTTCCTTGGACCCAGCATTTGAACGCTTTCTCCTTCTTCCCACACCTTTAGCTTTTGGCAAAAGGCTGTACCTACCAGTGGATTTGGAAGAAGGAAACCATAGTCTTCAGAAATATGAAATCTCTTCAGTGTGAATGCCGGCTTTTGTTTCACAGAAAGCGTAGCGTTCTCCATTCTTATGAGATTTAACAGCCACGCTTGGGAATTTTTAGCTGACTGAATTTGGGATGAAGTGAAGCTCAGAATCCCACAGTAACTGCTGACCAAGGCAACCTTACTTGTAACTATTAATAGATTTTGATTAGGTGAAGTATTTCCTCTCCTCATAGTCCCAGACCTTTGGCCTGTTGAATGTCACTGACCAATGATCAGTGACGCTGGATAAACATCAGGGAGGTGCGCTGATAACACCCTCAAATAGGCCAAATTCAGAAACAGAAAAGAATTTCAAAGGGATGGGACCATCTACAAAGTGAATCATTAAAGGCAAAAACTGCCAACTCGTTTGATAAGAATAAAAAACAAAAGAGATACAGAATAACAGAGTTGGAAGGTGAGGTACTAACACCACTCTATAAAGTCTTAGTAAGACCACACCTGGAATACTTCATCCAATTTTGGTCACCACACTATGAAAAAGATGTGGAGACTCTAGAAAAAGTGCAGAGAAGAGCAACCAAGATGATTATGGAACTGGAGGCTAAAACATATGAAGAATGGTTGCAGGAACTTGGTAGGTCTAGTTTAATAAAAAAGAAGGACCAGGGGAGACATGATATCAGTGTTCCAATATTTGAGAGGCTGACACAGAGATGAGGTGGTCAAGCTTTTTTCCAAAGTCTTAAAGCCTTAATAAGCCCACCCCTAGAATCCTGCATCCAGTTTCGGTCACCACACTGTAAAAAAGATGTCGAGACTCTAGAAAAAGTGCAGAGAAGAGCAACCATGATGATTGGCGGTGCCATCTTGTTTTGGGCGGCTGCCAGAACCCACCTCTGACTATCAGTGATGGTGGAAGAGGTTGTGGAGATTCTTTGGTTGTTTAATGTTTGCTTGTTTTGCAGTTCATTGATTATAGGGTGTCAGGAAATCTGGGATAGTTCAGCTGAACTTCTAATTCAGTTATTAAACAGGACACATCCTTGTCATCTGATGTTGGCTCTGGGTAATCACCATCTTATCTCTGTTTGCCCGTGGAGAATGCTGGATTAAACATTTGTTAGTGTGAATTGCAGAAACACTCTTTCCCCAACACTTGTGTTCTTGTTCTGTAAGACCCCCCTAGATAACAAGAAGATTGTTGGCAAGCTAAGGTGAGCCAAACCTCAGAATTTGCTTACAGATGTCCAAAGTTCAACCCCTGCTTACTTCCAGGGAGAAAGGTTGGATACGAAGTGATGATGGGAAATCTTCCCTACTTGAGACTTTGGAATTCTATTGCTCCCTTCAAGAAATATTTGTGACTTGTTGGACACTTAATCTACGCTGGTTGTTTGCATATTGCCGAAGGAGCTGTTGAAAGAACATTTTGCATATGCTGATGTAAATATTGAAATGTCAATTCAGAATATTTTTCCCCTGTGCCAGTGTGCCTGACCTTGATTTTATTTAATAATAATAAAAAGTTTATTTTTTAATATAATGATTCCATCTTCAGTTGAACAGTGTGTTGTCTGGGTACAAATATTTTTGTTACACAATAATCAAAATTACAACATCCTTCATTAAATTAATATTGATTCTGCAGTCTTGAACATAATAATATTCCACATTTAATTCTACAATATTAACATAATAATATTCAACATACTAGTCATAATATTTATCTATCTCTTTTAACATATCTTCTTTATTTTGTTTCCTTATTTCTAACTCCCATATTTATTATTTAACCATTGGCAACCAGTTTGCTCTTTCTCCTTAATTGCCAGTGTTAATCTATTCATTTCTGTGCATTCTAATATTTTCCTAATCACATTCTCATCTGTAGGTATCTCTTCACTTTTCCAATTTTGTGCAAATATAATTCAAGAAGCAGTTAATATATGGATAACTAAGGAGAGGAGAACAGGGAATATGAATAGAATAGAATAGAATAGAATAGAATAGAATAGAATAGAATAGAATAGAATAGAATAGGAATAGGAATAGGAATAGGATAGGATAGGATAGGATAGGATAGGGATAGAATAGGATAGGATAGGGAATATGAATAGAATAGAATAGAATAGGGAATAGGAATAGAATAGAATTCTTTATTGGCCAAGTGTTTGGACACACAAGGAAGTTGTCTTTGGTGCAGACGCTCTCAGGGTACATAAAAGAAAAAAAGAAAGAAATACATTAATCAAGAATCATAAGATACAACACTTAGTGATAGTGTTGATAGAAGAAAAGAGAGAGCACTGTATGTTCAGATTTGCAAGATTTAACTTAGCTGTGCAATAAATTAAAATTAGCAAATCTTATTGTTTTTTCCCCATCACATCTAGCTAGTAAGGGTATCAGGGGGGTGCATTGTCCCAAAAGGTAATCCTTTATACATGGTAATCTTACATTTATGACCACCATTGAGCCTAATATTTCTGTGGTTAAGTAAAATGGCTGTAAAGCAGGTTCTTTTGTCCCGTTGTAAAATTTCTTGCCACAGTTGTTAAACGAATCATAACACTTGTTAGGTTAATAACACAGTTGTTAAGTGAATCTGGCTTCCCTGTTGATTTGTGATTTATCGAGAAAGTCACAAAAGGGTATCACATGAACCTGGGACGTTGCAACCGTCAAAAATAAGAGCCAGTTGCCAAATGTCCAAATTCTGAATGCGTGACCATGGGGATACTGCAATGGTTATAACTGGGGAAAACGATCATAAGTCACTTTTTCCAGTGCCATTGTAATTCCAAACGGTCTGTCAACTCGTAAAGCATCCCTGATCTGCTCTCAAGTTGCCATAGACAGGAGAGGAGAGAACGGACGGAGCAGCTCGGCAGCCACGAGCAGAGGCACATTCCATACATACCTTTCTCAAGGCTGAATCTCAGGTTACCAGAGCCAGCTGGAGAGGCGTGTTGCCTACAGCCCGCAAAAGTCCTCTGTTGGAGAGTGTGATTTATGACACACCCTGGGAGGAGGGGGGAAACAGGGTCATAGTTGGGCCATAAATTATGTGGGGGCAGAGCTGACTTCGCTCGGGTACGTGTTGACATGTTGCTCCTAATAAATAACTGGTTTTCTGTAGAAACCTGGCTGGAGGCGCATGAGCTAATTAAGGCATCCCTCAGAACCTTGACACAGTCATTAAATGAATGGTTGTAAATTAAGGATACCCTGTAACCTTTCTCATTCCTTCTCATTCCCAGTTGTGACATTTCACTAGCAAATTCTATAGTTGTTCTCTGATCTTAAAATACTATGGCACACTTCACGGAACTGGCTGTGGGTGTTGAGATTTAAAACTAAGCTGGGTCTCACGCACACTTGGTGGGCTAAATAAAATCCATTTAAAAATCTTTTTCAAACTCCATATGTCAACCAAAAGGTTGCTTTTGGAAAATGAGGGGAGCCGAATGTCAACTCATAAAGTTGCCATGGTGAGGAAGTGGGGGAGCGCATTCCATGCATAGTTTCTGCTAGAGTCAGATCTCAGATTACTGCAGCAGGTTTGGGAGGGGTGTACCTCATTGGAGAATGTGATTTACGACACAGACTAAGGGGAGGGAAGGAACAGGGGTAAAGTTCAGCTATAATTTTAAAAAGGCTCAGATCTGACTGCATAAGATCTTGCCCAATGGTACTCCTAATAAATGACTAGTTTTCTTTTGAAACTTGGCTTGAGACTCATAAATCAATTAGGGCATTGTTTGGAAACCTGACACTGTAAATCAAAAGTACTTTCTTGGGGGCCAGATTCACTCTACTCTTAACTTACCACATTTTCCTCAGGCTCACATAATTTCATCCACACAACCAACATGGTCATGGCACTGTAGCATAAAAGCATTTTATTGTAGATACTGAACTGTTTGAAGAATTATATTACAGTATAAAGTAAGAGATGAAGAGGAGGACTCAGACAGATGGGGAGGGATAATGGCTTTTGTTTTCCTGAGGATCTTTTGTAACCTTTTGGAAATTGGTCCACCTTCTGGCAGCTTCTGGGGTCGCTGTCTATACACTACAAAAAGAAAGAGCAAAAACAGAGGAGAGAAGTTAATGGAAATAGATACCAGGTGGAAAATACATGCAAATTGATTGCTATTCCTTCTTCCCACCATACCGCACCATTCCTGTGCTATTTTAAATATTTCAAATTAGCTAGTTGTGTCTTACATGGAAGGTGGTCAAAATCCAAAATATAAGCCTGATGGAAGAAATGTCCTTCTGGGTTCAGTTCCAAATGGGGAGAAAGACACTGCAAACAATGGCGGCTGTTTGGAAAGATGGCTTTTAATGGTGGATAGGAACACATGGTTTGAGAGAGAGAGAGACAAAGACAAAGACAAAGACAGACAGGGACAGACAGAGCAACAAAGAGCGACAGAGAGACAGAGAGACACAGAAAGAGGCAGAGAGAGAGACAAAGAGACAGAGAGAGACAGAGAGAGACAGAAAAACAGAGAGAGACAGAGAGGGAAACAGAGAGAGACAGAGAGGGAAACAGAGAGACAGACAGAGAGACAGAGACAGACAGAGAGTGTCAGAGAGCATCAGAGAGAGAGAGAGAGAGAGAGAGAAAGATTTATACCCTCTGTTGGGCTTTGAATTTGAGTTTTCATTCTGATTGGGATTGGTTGTCAGACTCCTATGGGGCCATGCAGGGGCAACTCTGTAGGCTGTCCTGAGTCCCAAGCTTGGATGACTCTTGTTGGGTGATGATGCTGTGGAAGGGCTTTGGATTCCTATTATGGCTCTGCCTGAAGGGGGTAGATCTTTGTTATGTAGAATGGACTGGCTCAGGCCTTAATGGCCCATTGACAAAGTTGGGGGGGGGGGCTGACTTTCTGCCTCCATTTCAGGGGGAATATTCTGCTCTTGTTAATGTTTCCTAAAATATTTCATTTTTCTAGGAGAGGAGTGGGTGCTAACATAATAAGTATAATCTTTATTGTCATTGTACTTAAATACAACAAAGTTGGTTGTAACTTCCTACAAGCCATACAAATCTTGTCTCCCAGTCTAGATCCCTGAGGGCCATCAGTGAAATTAGGGATGGAGTAATACCTAGATTTTTTTGATGCTGATCAGTCAAGAG